AGCTCAGCCTCATATTAAACGTCTCAATGTTGGTGCTCGACCAAATTATCCTAAACTTGAAGAGGAACTTGCTGAATAGGTTCGAGCTTTACGTAACAAATTAAAACCAGTTAGCCATATTATGGTACAAAATAAAGCTGTATTATTAGCAAAATTTCCAAAATATATTCTTTACTATTCTAATATCAATAATTTTAAGTGGAGTAACAAGTGGCTTGATAGTTTTTTACGACGTAATAATTTTAGTAACCGTCATAAAACAACTGTTGCGCAAAAATTATCAGCAGAATTAGAAACACAACAGCAAGAATTTCTTAATTTTGTTCAATATTGCCGTATTCAATATGATTATCCATTATAATTAATGGGCAATATGGACGAGACCCCTCTTTCTTTTGATATGCCAAGTAACATAACTATAGATGATAAAGGAAATAAAACCATTAGTATTAGGACTTGTGGTTATGAAAAATCTTGCTTTACTGTTGTGCTTGCATGTTTGGCGGATGGCACGAAATTACCTCTAATGATCATTTTTAAGTTAAAAAATGTTTCACGGCTTGAGTTTCCATCAGGTGTAGTTATTAGAGCTAATGCAAGTGGATGGATGAATGAAATAGAAATGAGTTTTTGGATAGATAAGATTTGGCAAAATCATACACCAAATTCTGAGAATTCATGGTTACTTTTAGTAATGGATTCTTTTCGGGGTCATTTAGTTCCTTTTATTAAAAATAAGCTTGCTGACAAAAGCACTAATATTGCAATTATTCCTGGAGGGTTAACGTCGAAACTTCAACCACTTGATGTATCAATTAACAACTCGTTTAAAGCAAAGGTGTTTCTTTTTTATTTTATTTTTTTTTTCATAGTTAATATATGTTATGCACCTTTTTATCAATAGATTAGAAATATGTATGATGAATGGATATTACAAGAAATAAGAGAATTAACTGAATCTGGACGAATTAAACGTCCTCCGTATAATATAATTGCAGAATGGATTAAGC